GAAGAGGAGTGTGCTCCACAGATGACTTTTGTTGTCTTCACTGGCGAATTGGCATTTGATTCCATATGTAGGGGTTTTGTTTGTTCATCAAGAACTTTGGGTTTGCTTTACCTTGGACCTTCCTAGACCAGTGGTAGATAATCATTATGATGTTTTCCCCTTCACTTTGTGTTCTTCTTAATTTCGGCCCTTATAATAAGGGTTTATGTGTAATTTGCCTAACGAGATCAGCTTTAAATATGGCCTACTTCCTGACACCAAGATGAAGATTCCAATAGTACATCTACCATGTTTACTAATGAAATTATGATTTCACTATGAACAAAGTAGTTCGAAACGTTCAGTTAAATACATTATATATACTGAACATCATTGAAAACGCACCAGTCTAAAGTTGTCCATATTTTCATCACGATGGATTTCAGCATGCCAATGATCAATGAATATAACTAACAAGAAGTCGAAGGGCATGTCCAGTTGTAAAAAATGCTTTAGAAACAAATTCCTGTCCTCAGTATGACTCTTAATTCCATAAAGGCATCAACATGCAGTCACGCGATGAAAAAAAGCGCGAATTTCATTCTGATATCATACTGACTGTGACATTAAAAGCAGGTGTATGAGAACCGATTCTCATTGCTTCACTAACGATTGTGAAACGAGAACAGAGATGCCGAGGTTAACACCTCAAGAAAGAGAACGTGCACTAGGCATGATTCAGGTTGGCACCAGCAGCAGGAATATTGCTCGACAACTTGGACTTGGCCACTCGACCATCGTTAGGCTTCATAGACGACATAAGAAGACAGGCAACACCCATGACCTTCAAAGACCTTGGCAACAACGTTTTACGACGCTCCATAAGGATCGCCATATTAACCTTGTCCATTTCAGTGATTGAGCACTGCCGATTGCCAGGACTGCTGCACTAGTTCAAGGTTGACGTGGGGGTCATCAGCGCTCACTCCATGCGACGCCGTCTACACGCTACAGGGCTCCATGCTCGACGTTGGACCAATTCTGACTGTCAGACACCGTAATGAGCGTATACAATGGGCTAGCAGGCATTTTCAGTAAAGGTTACAACAATGGCATGGGGTGGCAGTAACTGACGAGTCACGTGTTCATCTACGTAATGCTGACGGCCAATTACGTGTTTGGCGTAGACGTGGTGAACGTTATGCTGATGAGTGTATGGTTCAGACAGACCTTTGGGTGATGGGACTGTCATGGTCTGGGGTGGGATGAATTACAATCACAGGACTGCCTTCATGCCTGTAAAGGGAGAGTTAATGTCGTTTATTACCGTGAGCAGATTCTTTATAATCACATCGTATCTGTCTTTAATCACCACCAAGATGTCCATATTTTTCAACAGGACAACGCACGGGCACACACAAGTAAAGTTTCCATGCAGTATCTGGCCCAGCAACACATCCTGGCCAGCACAGTCGCCAGATGTATCCCCCATGGAGCACTTGTGGGACGAAATTGGTCAAAGTCTTTCGCGGCGACAACAGATGCGAAACATACGGGAACTTGAGGCTGCACTACTGCAGAAGTGGAATGCCATCCTCAAGAACTCTATTCGGACACTTATTGACTCAATGAGGAGACGTTGAACTGCATGGGTCAATGCAAATGGCGGTCACACGCGATATTGACTTTTCGATTGGACCCCACGTGTGTTTGATCCCATCTGACTGTGGAACATGAATGAGCGTCTTTTCTGTGTTGTTGTTTTAGTCAGTCGTCCATCTGTTATTATCAACTCAAAAAATATCAACTCCTTACACGTGCTTTTCATAATCTGAACTTTTATAAGTAGTGCCTTTTCAATGATGTTCAGTATATAACATTTGTACAGGTGAACGTGTTTGATGTACAAAGTTTCTGTTGTGTCTGTTAGTTGATTAGATAGATTATATTGCTAAATAACATGAAATGATTTGTATTTGTCATGTGTAAACACCCGGTGCAGTTACACAGCTGTAAATTACATTTTTGAATGTAATACATATGTCATGTAACACCGATAAAAGTTGTCTTAATCCAGGGTTTATCTCCAACTGATGATATATTGTTATGTAATGATGCTCTTGTGGCATTACACCCGTGAAGGCCCGGGTTAGAATGTACCTTCAGTAACCCATGCTTGTCGTAAGAGGCGAATAACGGGATTCGGTGGTCAGGCTCGCTGGCTTGGTTGACACATGTCATCGGATCCCAGTTGCGAAGATCGATGCTCATGCTGTTGATCACTGGATTGTCTGGATAGCTGGAATATTGCTGAGTGCGGCGTAAAACTAACCTCACTCACTCTAGTGTCATAACACATTAGACAATCACGTGATAGACGTCTTCACATGGACAAAGGCATGCAAGTGACACATTTATTTTAAACACATCTGCTCTAAAAGAACTGTTCTTTCCCCTGATAAGAAACAAAAGAGTGTATTTTTCTACTTGAACAATGCATTTGAAATATAAAGTGTTGAAGAAAGTCAATATTTTTTCCGATTCTGGTTAGTCCATAACTGGAGTTTGTCTTGTATAAATGAGTGCTGTTAGGTGACAGTTCAAGGTTCTGATATTATCGTAACGAATGTTCTATATTCTAAGTCTCATCAAAGAGACAACACAACTGCAGAAGTAAGCTTGGCAAAATTTTGCTGTTTATGCACTCGATCCATCTGATGGTGGTGTTTCACTATACCTGTACCTTCCCTTATACACGTGAAAGTTTATTTGTCACAGAGTGCTTAGTATTCTTTGAACTGTCTCGATATTCCTTTCGGCGAAGTGGATCTGCTGGACACCACAAATCCTCTGGCCTCAAAGCCAGTTTGATACTCTGAAATGTAAATGTGTTACTTTACTGTTTGACTTTACATAGAAAATAAATCTGTTTGTGTGTCCAATTCTCCCGTGACTGCAACAGTAAATGCAGTGGTCCATTACTTGGTCAGCAGTGACCCCTGATAAAGTGACGAACACTTTTTGTTCATTTATATTTTTCTGAAAAATCCTAGATCTCCTGATATATATGCACATTTTGTGTTACACTCCTCCTTTTCTGTCAGTCATTGACATGTTATTTCACTTGGCATCAGACATCCTTAAAGATATCCTTAAATTCTTTGTAAGCAATGGCCCTCAACCATATCCTGTGTTGTCAATCTAAAACTAACAATGCCAGTAACAATGAACGCTGGCAGGTACCTGTTTGAGTGTGTGGGACACCAGGTGCTTCCTCACTGCTTTGATAGCGTAGATTGGCAGAGGAATAAGTGGAGCTGACGCAACGAACCAACCAATGATACTGGCATAACCTGGATATGTGTACTTGCCATAGGAAGGTGGTTCATATCGTAGTAGGGACAGTAACAGCACGGCCTGAAACAGTATTAATGGTTGAAAAAAGATTATGGAAAATGGTTGATTATTATGGATTCCTCATATAACATGCATTCCGGTGACTTTCATCTACAAGTCATGTTTCATGGGAATGGACGAAAGAATGTTCAGAAACATTGGTTGACAAATGCCGCTTGCATCAGTTCTTACATTTTCAAGATTAAACCCTTGATATCCCAATGTTGATATTGAAATGTGCCAAACTGTAGAATGTCACAGATAGAATTTGGATCCACCCCTGAATCACTTACCAAAAGGACTGCAGGAAGGACAAAAGCCCAGAGTATCTTGAAAGGGGTTGCAAGGGGTTTCCCTATCATCATCTCAATGTCTTTGCTGAACTGCTTCAAACCTTGAGTAATAACACAAACTATTAACCACTTGGGATGACCACTGTTTGACACTACACGAATACATGAACTCGGGCTGACGTCAGAATCTGCAGCTGAATGATTTTAAGCCTCCTGAAATCATGATCTTACGGTTATTTCATAAAACAAACAGAAACATCTTACCAGGGCAAAAATGCTTTATACGTTTGTCGCTGGCAAGAGTTTCAGATAATTATGTCTTCGTTTATTTAGCGATGTGTCTTAGTGCGGCGTTGAACAACAACTGCACAGCTAGAACCATCGCCAATATTCTTTGGGGAAGCAGCCTGCTAAAACGACATTTATATCTGAGCCAAAATAATATAAAAAGACGTTGTGCAGTTCAGTTGTGAATGAAACAAAAGCAATACTCAATAACACCCGGAATTTGGCCAACACATGATGTTTATCTCCTCAATCAAGATTTTGAAAGCAACAACTAACACTTCTTTGAACATCTAGAGTCAGCGTGAGGAAGCTTTTAGTATTAAATGATTATATTGACGTTGACATGATTATGAAAATTATTGATCTCAATGTAAGACATGACAATGAATAATACAAAATGCCTATCGGAGAGTGGTCATCATAACAAATGTTATATTTGGGATTACACTTACTTAATATAAACGGCATATTCTAGTACTCTTGGGTGGAGTCCAATCTGGGATTCGAACGCATGCTATCAGAGTGAGGAACCCATTTGTCACTCAGAGCTTCCACAAATATAGTGGTGGTCCAAACACTCTGTGTACCCCACTTACAGATGGAAATTGGTACGGCTCCCATGGCCAAAATTTATACTATGAAAACAATGTCTCTCAGGAAGTAGTCAGAGGTTACAAATATTACATTTGGGATAACCCTTTCTACAAAAAGTTCAAATTATAGGACTTGGTTTATTGAGCCCCATCCGAATTTGGAACAAGAACGTACAATCCCAAGTATAATATTTGCAGCTATATGGCGGCGGTCTGTTAATAATCGAGTCTGGTCCAGGAAATCCTGTGATCAACAGCATGGGCATCGATCTCAAATGGAATGTGTCAAACAAGTCAGAAGGAGCCTGAAAACCCGATCCCGTTCGACAAGCATGGGTTGCTGAAGACAAATGCTAACCCGGATCTTCACGGGTCTAAGATTCGATAAAAATGTAGTTCATAGTATAGCACAGTGACGTTTCATCCAGCCTTACCGTAAATCCAGACAACAGCCAAGCATTCCAGTGTACAAAATAGCAGTATGGATAAGGCGCCCAAATACCAGTCCAGCAGTTGGTATATGTAGGGTCCTCCCTGGAATGAATAAATTAAGGTTCCTTTTATCTAACTGAAAAGTCACCACAATGGAACTAGGGCTTGTTGTCGATAGAGCATCGATACTCGTCAACTAAATATCGATAAATATCTGAGAGGTGCAAAATTGCCCCCAGCGTGTGGATAAATCAATATGATTCCATGTTTTTGCATGAAGTATTAACAAAACTGAACTCTGAGCAATTTGAGAGCTTGAATAAAGCTTTGTATGTTGTGTGAGATAATTAAAACGTGTTTCTGTCACAAAAGGTAGTGTACAATGGTAAATCTCTTTATTCCATTACTGAAGAGGCCACAGGCCTATAGTACAAAAAATAAAAACAATAATGGCATACAATCACATTGTTTGCAAACGTTATTATCTTTGTTCAAAAGCATGGTGGATATACAAACCAAGTTTACGAATATAAGTTGTATTATTGGAGTTCATAATCAAATTTAATTTAAACATGGTAGGATGTTAATAGTAATATTGTGGTAGATATTTTGTCCTTTAAACAGTATAGTAAGGACATACCAGCAAAAAGTGGAACTCATCTTCAATTACATTTAGTGCACAAAATTTGCACAATCTGTTTTCTCTTGGAATATCATAATATCTGCCCTTCTCGATCATAAGATCAAGTGAAGAGCATCTAAATCTGGATAACGAAACGTGGAATTTTCTTAGATTAATATCGTGTAGGTATTGCTCTGTATGGAAAAAAAAATTTAAAAGTACAGTAAAAAGTGGATTTGGGCGACTGTATTAAAGATGAGTTCCAGGTCTGAATACTTTACAATAGTGTCGATAGCACACTTTTCATATCTATAATCATTAGTATTTTTTCCTGTTGACGATATTTCCGATTATCGATCATTTTGCCTGCCATAAATGGAAACCTCCAATTTTATTATGGTTTCGTTTAAGTGAGTTAAAGCTTATAGTAACATCGGCAGTATTGCAGCCATATCGTGACTAAAACTAGATATTAAATTCCTGATAAATACAATTAATTTTTTTAATGTTGTCTACTAAGGACAGTAAAACCAACTAGAATAACACAGAAGCAAGAATTAAAACTAGCCTCTATCTCTACAATTTGATATTAATCAGGACAAAACAATATAAACAAAATGGGCTATCGCGTATCGCCAGGAACTGAAGGGTGATCACCAGACTAGAGACCATGGAGACTGTACTCATCCAGGTTGGTTTTATATCACGCCTTCAGCCGCTGGCAAATGTGCTCAAATTTAGCCATGATTTAAAATGACACAAAATACTACGCTTTAAAAATCTAGTAAGTTTAATTTAATGTGAATGTTTCGTCACTTACGTGCCCTCTCAAGAGGACAATAATATTACAATACTTTAATCCCCTTTGAGGATACAACAATCTCAGTTACTAGTTTAAACTTCCAATATTATTTTTTTTACATCTATCTGCAATACAAATTATTTAAAAAAAATTCATTTAGTTCTATTTCATTTAAACTGTTCCTTAATTGTTTTTGCTCTGAAATAGTTATCCCTTGTGATGGAAAAATCAATACAGTCAGGCAGGTACATGCTTGACCGTGAGTTTTTCATCACAATGGATGCAAAATGGTGGATCCTCACCTTTCAATAGATGTTAGCGAGTATATCTTGTATGGCCAATGCGGCATCGTCTTAAAATGACTTCTTCAAATCTGGAGTGATAACCCTCGTGGGTGTAACCGATGGTTGGTTCAATTGCATGTACTTTATTGATACCTACTTGTGTGTCCAACTTATTCTGCATTAGATAATGTCAGATCTATTCACAGCTTTCTAATCTGAGTATGGTATAATAAGTGGTGCCACATATTTGTTAGGTGCTGTCGTAGCTGCAGCATCAGCCATTTTGTTACCACTGATTCCAACATGACTGGGTAACCAGCAAAAGAAGATAACGTATTGGACAATAAATTATTAACTTCAACTAAAAGTGGATGTTTACAAGATAGATTTATAATGCTCTGAAGGAACGAGAGTGAATATATGATATATTGTTTATATTTAGGGTGTTTTTTAAATAGATTTAAGAGCCATTAATATAGCTTTTGCTTCCGCTGTAAAAATAGAGTGGTTATCTGGTATTCTAGAAGATAGCGTTCTGGATCCAATGACAGTGGCACAGCAACTGCGCCACCGTAATTGGATCCATCTGTAAACATCGATTTGTATGTATTATATTTACGTTTTAATTGATGGAATTCTTGTTGATATTGTAATTCATTACTTTCTTAGATTTTTTAAGTTGTCAGTATTAGGTCAACTTGTGCCCTGACTGAGTGCCAAGGAGAAGAAAGAAGGCGGTATGGAGATATATTATCCAGCTCAATGCTAGCAGCTGAAAGGAAAGGTTTTACTCTTATTCCTTGAGGCAGAACAAGAGAAGACGTCTTGTTGTACAGATCCTCATAGTGTGTATTAAAGACAGTTATATACCTGGTTGACCTGATTAGAATATTGTGTAATGATATACTGCAAAGATACTTTGATCAGGCTTAAACACAGTCTTATACCATGGCGGTGGATAGAATCAAGTATTTTGGGTTGCCTTTAAAGGCTCCACCATATACGATTGCGCCGTAATCAAGTTTTGAGCGGATGGGTGATCTCACCTCACGACTTTCAACAATCCAAGTGCCTTCAAGCATGTATTTTTAAGGTATTTAATATTGGGTAAGAAAGTCAAATGAGAATCAAAGAAAAAAGCCAAGAACATCCCTTCACAACCTTGATGGGGTGCCATTTAAAAATAGTTCTGGATATTAATGCGGTCTATATTTTCTGCAGAAATGTAAGCAATTCTTTTTCTGATAAATTCCAACTGACCTTTTATGGATTTTACTGAGACAGTTGTAACTGCCTCTCTGTTGTATGCATATTTTACCACCTCAGGAAAGATCAAAATCATCCACGAAGTTATAAGAGTTCTCGTTTTAGCTGACCATCCCCTGAATGATGTCTGTCATCATCAAGAAGTCGCATGTCCAGGACACCGCCAGTTTGTCTTAGCCAGGCCACTGTGGTTTATTATGTATGTTTACATCTTTACTGCATGTCAGTCTGATATTCTTACTGCACCTGTAGTTAGTGCCCCAAGGAAGATACACATGCTTTCTATGCTTGATTTATCGTTGTAGAGTATCAATCATCGCTCGACATATGTTTGTTAGTAATTGCATTCGTTTGTGTATAAACGATTAAGATGTTTTGCCAGCATGTTTCGTCTGCATTCTGAGCAAGCTCCAATATTGTCAGTTGTTATCCTCGTGTCCCTACCTCTGTGCATAATACAATCCCAAGCAAGAAGCTTATCCCGCACACACCGGCTGTCACAAGATGGCGTCTTTTGGTTAAAGCGGCTGGATATTTGTCTACCATGGCTGTTGTAAGGACCTCAATATTCATAAACTGAAAACGATATTCATTTAATGAGCATGTGCATTTGTTTCGAAATTATTGACACACAGAATTAAGAATGGATCATTTTCAGCGTCCGAAACACATAGACATATATTTCTTTCAATTCGTTCATTTAATGAGGTATGAGATTTTCCAAATTGATGTCATGATGGAAATATGGACTTTAATGAAGTTAAGTGATGTTTGCCAATTATTTATATACCAGAAGCGGATTGAAACATGTTCATCTCATTCTTAACGCTATTGTATATATTGAATACATACTACAAGAAGTGTCGATTTTGGATCAGTCAGGGCATCCACAGACCCTCGTGTCTTTACGAGGATAAAAAGATTATTATTATTAACTCTCTCCAGATAACCCTCGACTCAAAATGCTTCACAGTACAATACATGAACACTCATTACACCTACCAATTCTTTATTGTTATTTTTGCAAGTCGATTGAAAGCCGATTTTGACCCTCAACTAAACGATCTAGTCACAAATGGATGACAATAGGTCCGCACAAAACGGGTGTGTGATCGGAGCAAGCCCTCTGATTGGTCGACGCTTGTTAAGGAGACATTTACAGTTAATGATTTTCATTTGTGAAGCCATTGCTGGAAACAAATTCTTACATTTCCAAGTCAAGCAGGTGACGAAATTCAAAATTCCAATTGCCAATTCATACAGAATGTACAGATTTACAAGCGTCGACCAGTCAAAAATGATACGATGATATTTGCACTCGTTCAGTGTGGGCGATCTTACCTGTGAATCAAGTCCGGCTGTAAGCAACACCAGGAAGAATAGAAATGACCAGACTTGTGGCATTGGAAGTTGGAATAAAGCTTCTGGATACACAACAAAGGCCAATCCTGGACCTGCCAAGTATTGACAATCCATCTTAGTTCTAAACTTTGGCAGCTGAGATATGTCACAAACGTTCTTGAAAATAGTACAAATATACTAGCCTCGAAGAGAAAATGTGCTTTGTTAATTTTCTCTCTAAATTTGAAAACATAACAATGAAAACTTACCTTGTAAACTTTAATAGGGTATTGCGATCATACGAAGACAGCAGAACCGCATGTCTATGACATTGACGTTACGAGTCAAAATGCGGGTAGATGTCAAGCACTAATGTCACAATCTCAGTTACGTGTATGCATGAACAATAGTGCAGCATGTGTTTTCTCCGGATCTGGCGTAGAGACCATTTCATCAGTCCAATACTTTCCCCTTCAAGGAATAATTAAATAGGAGAGGTGTTTCCGCCTCTTGATGTAAGCAATCACCAACGACACGTACACCGTGGGACCTAGCATTGTCGTGTGTGAAGACTGGTCATGTGTTCAGTGAAATTGTGTCTGTATACTAGTATTAAGCACGACTTTGAACCTTTACAATACTCACCACTGGAAACCACTTTTGAAATAGAAACACCAGTCTTCTCTGACATGACGCCAAGGGTGGCGAATATCACAAATCCAGCGAAGATGCTTGTTCCTTCTGATACAGCAGTCACGATGATGGCGTCTCTGATACAGATTATGTTCGTGGGAAAAGAGAAGAGAAGAGAAGGGGTTTGCCGAACACAGAATTTACAAGATGACATGATATGATAAAGAGGTTATCACGCTTACAGTGTTTTGTCCCTTTAACATACTTGCGTTATAACCAGCATATCTACATCAGTACGACAATAAATGTTACATTCATGGTACCACGTCCGTGGCAACCCACAAGAGAAATGAAATAAAACAAGGAAAACTCAGAAAAGATTCGGATTGCCTACCAAAGAATTCCATACATGATAAATCCAACGAAGCTTATCAAATGCCTCGACATTTTACACAATGACTGAAATGAGAAGCAAGAGTCTACACTCTGGTCTATAGTGTCATCGATTCATTCATCACGTTAATACACAACTTTATCGCAGTCGATAATTGCTGTCTCCTTCAATATGCTACCGCTGACATTCCGTGAACATTTTAAAATTTGACGCATCAGTGAAAACATTATGTCCGGTGCAATTCCCTATTTGGAGTGAGTGAGTGAGTTAATATTTAACGTCACATCGGCAATATTTCAGCCATATCGTGACGAGAACATTTGATATTGAAATTAAATATATGTATATTATAAAAAAAACTGCCGACGAAGGGCAGTAAAACAACTAGAATATCACAGATATGTATGTAAAGCTAGTAATTGAATCTAAAACGTTATAACTACAGGGGAAAACAATACAGTATAAAAATGGGCTATAAATCGCCAATAACTGAAGGTAGATCACCATACCAGGGACCATTGGGACTTACATTACTATTGCTCCCTGTATGGACCCTAGTTGTATTTACACAATCCCTTCAGCCATTGGCGACAGAAGAGAAATCTAGCCATAAATTAAAAACACACATATTCTACGATTAAAAACGTGGCAAGCCTAAATTTTCTTTGAAAGGTTTTGGGACTTACGTCCCTATTTGGACTTGAACCATATGTTCTTGTGTTTTTACAGGTAATTGACTTGTCTATGCATGTGTCTGTGATTGGGGCCATCGATAAGTGAAAATGTGCTTACGAATCGAGATTTCCCTACAATAATATTAGGATTTACCTTGACAGGATTCGTGGATCTATCATGTACGGCACGTGGAGATTCTTTGGTAGGCTGTCCGAATCTGATTTCAATTTTATTTCATTTATTTTTATTTCATTTTTATTGTTTGGCTTGTTGTAGTTTTGCCATGGACGTGGTACCAGGCACCTTTACATTAACACTATTTGATGATAATGCACACGCCCATGAAAGAGTAGGAATCAAGATTCGTTCACAATACTGGGATTTACCTGAGACAGGGCTCCTGGAACTGACTGTAGCTGGAAGCAGTGCCAATCATTCCCCAGCCCACAGCCAGCGAGAACATCACTTGGATACACGCTTCAAGCCATACCTGTTGAACATGCAACGGAACTGACAATGCGATTCACTGTAAAACAGTTGTAATTGTAAGACACTGTTTCTGTTAAGATTCCGCCCCTCCGAGGTAATGAAGATCTGCATCACGTGGCGCATTCCTCTCACATCAAGTTGACACGCTGGAGTACTGTTCAAAACAGTGCATAACTCCCTCATTCAGCTTAAATATAGCAAACGACACCTCACTCACTCAAACATTGAACTTGAAGGCTGCCTTTGTTGTAACTCATTCGTCATCACTACGCTAATGACTTTAACACACCTGTGCGTGGAGCAGTCTACTGAAGTCTGGTGTGAGGTAGTACAGCAGACCAGCTCCAGCTCCCGGCAGCATCAGCATCCTTATGAAGATGGTCACCAGAAGAATGTATGGAACTATTGCCGTCACATACACAACCTTTCAACAGGATGAAATACCTTCAGCATCCACATCGCAAGCCCAACACAATGTTTAGCAGCGTGTCAAGTTGTTCGCCTTACACGCATTATGTCTAAAAATCAGGCCTAAAAACTGATACAAGCAGTCCCATATACTGATTGTAATAAGCAATCCGACTGACTGCCACAATCAAGCCTAATCAATCACATAGATAAATAACAACGGTTGAAGTGATGGTGTACATCCAGCTTGGGTAGATGCAGGAAGCAAACGTTCCGTATGTCCCCAAGGTCCTTAGTATTGTGATTTACCTTCAGTTGTTGACGATCTGTAGTCTGTTATACGTTGTATTGTCTATTGGTTTCGATTTATATGCTTATTTCACAGCATTCTGCACCTGATTTTCTGATCGTTTTCAATGCAGTTCGTCAACAGCTTTTAATATTCTTGGTTTATGTGTCGTCGATGTATGACTTGTTTTAGTCACCACATGGACGAAATACTGCCTATAAATCTAATTCACTAAATCCCATAATTGGTCACAAGCAGGGCCTAGATTTTCGAAGCTCTCTTAGCGCTAAGGCAGTCGTAAGTGCCATACATTAACATTAACTTACGACTATCTTAGCGCTAAGAGAGCTTCGAAAATCTTGGCCCAGGTCTATATGTTGTCATAAGCAGTCCCTATACTTCAACAATCAATCCCGCTTACTGTCACAATCACGCCAGCGGCTGAAGGGATGGTGTAAATCCAGCTAGGATCCATGCAGGTAGCAAAAGTAATGTAAGTTCCCATGGCTCCTTGTATGATGATCTACCTTCAGTTGTTGGCGATCTATAACCCATTTTTATATTGTGTTGTCCCCTATAGTTAAATGTTTTAGATACAATTACTAGTTTTACATATATATCTGTGATACTCTAGTTGCTTTACTGTCCTTTGTCGACAGGTTTTATAATCTCTATATATATTCTATTTCAATGTCAAGTGTTCTCGTCACGATATGGCTGAAATATTGCCGATGTGACGTTAAATAATAACTCACTCACTAACTCACTGTCACAATAACGCCTATATACAATCAGTCCTGTATTCATTTCGTGATCGTGTATGGTCTGCCATACGCGCTCATGCCATAATCAAAGTAGAAAGAGAGCTTTTATCTATGTCGACTTCTTTATTTGGGCGGAGTGACCTGTTGATGGAGTAAGGGTACATTCCGAAACGTTGTGTTCCTCATAATAAAGAAGTTGACATCCACATAAACTCGCTTCCGTATGTGTATCACTCCTAAATGCCATCCAAAGGCCTGATGATCAAAGTAGGGCTAGGAAAATGCCAAATAACATGTACATGAGGGACTTTGAAGAACATACAAATTGTCAAGATATTACACAAATACCATAACGAACACACGGAACCCAGCGTCTAAATTCTGGATATGTGTTCCCGTGGTTTTGTTCAGAGACAGGATTCGTTTGGGTCGCTGCGTCAAAACACGAAAGATGACTGCGGTTTAACATCATGTTAATGCATTGTCTCCCTTATACTGCTACCCTACATTGCAGAAAACTTTCTTCCACAGTCCACTTCTTTCGACATTGAGAATCTTCAGCAATTACAATTAATTTACATTTTCAGCAAATAAAATAATTTGTAAAAATATAATTCAGGTACAGCCGAACTAATTCACAACGAATACCATCACACACACGAAGTATGGTTGAAAAAAATTATTCTGATAAATTGTCTCAAATTACGAAAGAAATGAATACCTGGTCAGCACGAACACTCACTCCCTTTGGAAGAAACACAGTTTTGAAATCACTCCTGCTTCCAAAATTAAATCACTTATTTGCTTCACTCCCAAACCCTCCAGATCATGTCTTAGATAAGCTTCAAAAGCTATGTTTTAGATTTATTTGGAAAGGAAAACCAGACAAAATTAAAAGGGACATTATTACATCTCTCCCCAAACATGGTAGATTAAAGGTACCAAAAATCAAAGCGACAATTGCGGCCCAAAAGCTTGGATGGGTAAGAAAACTATTACAAAAAACAAATAAGTGGGACTATCTTTTTCTTAGAAAGATAACATGAGAAATTTACCTATGGTCTGCAGACAGCAACTATATTAAACATGTTGTTACTCCAACCTTAACAAATCAGTTTTGAAGGATGTGTTACTTGCTTGGGCTTGGTTCACATCTAAGCAAAAAGATACTATTACAAGTGAATTTGAAATCCAGTCACAGTCTATCTGGTGTAATGATGACATATTGGTTGATAACAAACCTATTTTGTATAAATATTGGTACAACAACGGAGCTATGTCTGTATCTGACATGTTGACAGCAGAAGGGAAATTTCTATCCTTTGAAGGGGTCAAACAAGCAATTATTACATACATGTTAAAGATAAATACCGACATACCCTTTTAATTTGTGTAAACTAAAGTTCAAAGAAAAAGGTAGCAAATATTTCTATTAAAAAAAATCCAATGCTCTAAATTAA